TGTGACTTTGAAACAGGACACTGAATAAAACTTCCAGGCTTAAAATGTTTTCCACATACAATGCACACTTGGTTAGAGTGGAACAGAAATTCTTATCTCGGGGGTAAACCGGTATAGTGGGAAAACTGCATTTAATGTCAGCTTGCCTCCAGCCACATGCTGCAGGCATCTCTTTGAAAACAGGGCTTTCATCAGTTTCTCTTTTATCCTTTTTGTTTCATGATGTCTTCAGAAATACTTCCTATTTTTACTGAATTTTTTTTTCTTGGAAGTACCAGTACTGTTTAGATATAATATAATGGGTGCTAAATGTTTAACGAGATATGCAGCATTTGCATTTAATGACAAATATACATCTGTTAAAATGTGTTGTGGAAAGAAGGTAGAGGTATAGTGCTTCAGAATTAAAATAGTTATATTTACCTAAAACAAATGTTCATGTAGTTGAGTTGCTAACATTTGCTATTTTGACCATGAATGCATATTTCTTTGATTATTTCCATAGAGTCACAACTTCTGTCGTTTCTACTTACCACATCAGCTGAGACTGGAATTTTACTGTAATTAATAAAAATGTTCTCAAAATTTTAAAAGATGTATAGAAATTTTAGAACAATAGTAAATATAATTTATCAGCATAAAACTGATGGTGCTTGTATGCCAGATTCTGTCAAACATGTTATTGAGATAAATCATTGCTATGGAAACTGTTGAAAATGTAGATATTTTAACAATACATGATGAAACATGATAAAGCTACATATTTCCTACTCAACTTATTTAATTTTGAGAGTACATTATCATGTATGAAGCTTTTATTCACCTCATACCTTTTCTTTCTTAACACTTGTGGCATCTAACACTGCACCTCAAAAGAAAGCATGTTTTGGGGAAAGATAAAGATAATAAAAATTTGCTTTACTTAGGGAATAAACAGGTAATAAATATAAGGGTTTTGTATCAGTTTTTAAGAAAAATATTTCAAATTAGTCCCGGAAAGTCTCAAATGAATTAATACTTATAAACAAATTAACAATTAGTCATTAATAGGTAAAAGGTTTATAAAACATTCTAGCTAAATATAACTGATGATCACTTCTGTTTTTAGTCATCATTGCCTAAGAATCTCATCAGTTAGTATGAGTTGAACAGACTTTCCATGTTTACTAGAGGTCTCCCTTCAGCAACTATTTTTAAAAATATGTTTTTGTTAATTTTTAGAGAGAGAGGGGAGAGTGATCGAGAGATAGTAACGTTGATAAGAGCGAAACATCATTGACTAGCTGCCTCCTACACACCCCCTACTTGGATATCAAGCCTGCAACCTGGGAATGTGCCCTGATCAGGAATCAAACTGGCAACCTCTTGGTTCATAGATCCATGCTGACTCACAGAGCCACACTGGATGGGCCAGCAACTGTGTTTTATAGGAGGTTGGTCCTTCAGAAGGTAATGCAAACTTAGTTAAGCTAATAATGGGAAATGCCTCCCAATAATATTTGCTGTTCCTCCTCTCAAGATCTCAGACCTGGCCTGGCCTGCTAACAAACACAGACAGTAACTACTGACTTCCTCAGGAGAAAGACAACAGATTGTATTTCAAGAAATTTTAATGAATTTGTTTCACCCATACTTTCTCTTGGGCCCAGTCTGTCTTTATACCAATGGCCAACTCAATACTGTGGGTAGAAGAAAAATAGGCTAACTAGCTCTCACAGGACTGGAAGTCGAAATTGGATTAGCATTAGGCTCTAACCAGCAAAATGACCAATACTATACTTAATCCCAGATAATTCTTTTTCCTTCCTTCTCTTTCCTTCCCTTGTGGCTAAAAGATAAACCACTCATCAACTAACACTTCTAGACTTGAATTGACTGAGCAAAGAGAGCCTTTGAAAGAAACACTGGGTATGTTTAAATAATGAAATACAGTAATGAGCCACGCACTGTACTTCTAGAATAGCAAATGTATAGTACTGTCACCATAGGCGGCTACATAATAGAAAACCTGATACTTTGAAATTGGGAGGGACTTCAGAGATCATATAGTGCAAGTCTCTCAATTTACAAATGAGAAAACTAAGGCCCAGCAAAGTTCAGAAACACAAAGTTAGTTAACATACAGATCTAGGAATTCCCAAGTCTGGATTCAGTGTTCCTCTTAGGGTTGGGGAATGGGTTTGGGGGGTAGGGGAACGGCTGAAATGAGAGAAGGAGGTCAAAAGGTGTAAACTCCCAGCTACAAAGTAGATAAGTGATGGGAATATAATATGGTGACTTAAGGTAATAATACTTCATTGCATAATTGAAAATTGTTAAGAGAGTACATTTCAAAAGTCCTCATCATAAGAAAAAGTATTTTTGTAACTATGTAATTGGTAATAGACAGTGACTAGATATATTGTGGTGATAATTTTTAAATGTATGCTTTACTGAAACTATAAAATGTTAGATGTCAAATGTTCCTCAATAAAAAATATATTCAGTGTTCCTGATAACCAAACCATGTAGCTTATTACACATCAATAGCATTTATCCATGATCAATATCATGTTTTAACTATTATGTTTAAACACAAAACTTTTAAAACATTTTTTGGGTAAAACCCTGAACAATTGGAAATTTTAAGAATTTCTGTTAAATATGATAGTTTGTACAACATGACTATCTGTTCAGGTCTAAATCATAAGTTTTGTACTTATAGGCACAGTAAATTGCCTTATAAAACATATTTTATACTTGAAAAAAAAGCAAATACAAAAGTGGCACATGCTTTGAAAACAAACCTTTTAAGATTATGTAATAAATAATCATTTAAATTTAATATGAGTTATTTGTATTTAGTCTAAAGTTGTATCAAGGGCATATGTTACCACAGGCAATATTTTTAAATGCATAATTTATGACATCACCTCCATGACTACCTGAGAGACCCAGCAGAGCTAGACCCTGGGAGGGTGAGTTCACACTTAGCTAAGGTCACAAGGGCAACTGCTTGCCAGATGACACAGAACTCCATGTATTTCCACAACTGATATAAATCTCTCCAAAATGTTTAATTTTAATATGCAGGCATAGAAGGCCTAGTGTGAGAATTTATACAGAATCATACTAAAAAAACTCTATACCCAACAGTACAGAACATTGGTACAACATACTAAAACATCGAGGTGGAGAGAGAGGAAGTACATACAGGAGAAAAAATATGAGAGGTAAGACAGAAGTAAAGTAGAAAAAAAATATATGGGAGGAAGAAATAAAGAGATAAATAGCCTAAAAAGAAGAAAAGAAGTGTAAAGAAAAGAGGTACAGATAAGTGAAATGAAAAGAAAAAAAAGAATTAAAAATAAGAAGAGAAATAAAATGATGTGAAAAAAGAGAGAAAGGAATATAGATGTATGACTTGTGAAAAGGAAGAGTTCAAGTGATGGGGACCCATTAGTGATAAAAATAGTTGGAAGAGAGCAATATTTTGTCTTGAGGCCTGACTATCAAATAAGAAAGAAGTAATAAAAAAAAAGTGCACACACACACACACACACACACACACATTTGGATACTAACTTACCCCTTAAAAACTGTTACCCAAGGTTTTATCTTCTTCCTTGACTTCCTTCTCCTCATTCTACACTTACCTTTGAGTGACCTCATCCAAACCTATGGCTTCCACTCCAGGACATGCTATAACTTTAGCTATGGCAACTGGCATGTCCAATGGCCTAGTGGGTATGTCCACGACTTTACAGGGAGAGTGAACTTAACAAAGTGCAAAGATGAACTCTCCATTTTCACTCCCCAAATATGTTCTATTTTCTATATTTCACATTTTGGTCACAGTAAACTAGATTCTTTCTGCATTATTCCATCACCCTCAGCTTCTGCTTACAGATGGCTACAGAAACTTACCTTCTCTCCTAATTTTTCTAAAGTTGCCCCCTCTTCATTCAACTGGTCTTTCTGACTCTAGTTCTCCCCCCCCCCCACTGTGCTCAACTCTAACATCAGAGTTCTCTTTCTAAGATAAAAATTGTATCAAACTACTACCTGCTTAAAGGCCAGCAGATTTTAGGGCCATATCCAGTCTCTTTAGATGACCAGATAAAACTTCCAAGACCTCATTTTCCCACCTTCTCCATCCTCACCCTCAACCATCGATGACTTTACTCCACTCTATAATTATTTTAAAACTATAAAGAAACAAGATCTGAGTGTTCCCTGTTTGGGAAAATTTATCTAGTAGTTCCTTTACGATCTATATTTTTATGTTGATAATTTTTATATAAATTAAACACTGTATTATTACTAAACAAGTTTTTGCTTATTTTCACAAAACAGAAGGCACTGTATATTTTTCAAGCATCAGAGGTAAGAATCACTTACTATAGCTGTATCTGTTTTCCTCCTCCCTGAGACCACCCCTTGGCTAGACAGTGCAGTTTCATAACATGCCATGTGCTCTAGTTCTTGTCTTTAAGCACATTATGCCCGGTGTTTCTGCCAGGCTGTTCTTTGAGAGTCTCTTTCTCATGGGGTCTCTTTCTCATGGGGTGTTGTGCTGATTCACCCCAAACATGGTGCCTGCACATAACATGGGCTCCATCCTGTCACCCTCATCTTCCTTATAATGATTAGGAAGCCTTCTTTCTCGTATCCCCAAGAACATCAAATATGTTAGCATATCAAAAATCCGTACTAAATATTTCCTGGTGAATAAATGTCTTTAAAGATTATGCAGAGCTTTACATACTGACTTGTGGGAAAGCGCATGCTTTTTATGTTAACTTGGCATGATTTGCTTTGCATATTCATACAAAGTAACCATTTATTCTAAATGTTGTCCCATAACCTTGAAGGCTACATGATGAAAAATATCAACAATCAGAGTCACAGAAGTGTCTTGGTCATCAAAGCCAATTCAATAACGGACTATTTTTACACACATGAAGCAACTTGGCAACAATGGAATAGCACCACATCTTTAGCAATAGTGAAGAGCTCACCTTTTCTTCATTACCAACACAACTCCAAGAAATATAATAACAAACAGCAAGATGCCAGCAATGACTCCAGCAATTTTAACTGTATGGTCTGTTGGTTCCTCAGGTTCTGGGACAGGTTTTGGAGTAGCAGCTCCTAAAGATGAAAGGAAATGAGAAAGAAAAGAGGGTAAGAGAGAAAAGAGATGTTACATTATTTTTTTCCCCCTGCTGAATGTAGCACATTAATAAGACTTATCAGAGCCTGCAGACAGACAAGCTTTGACTTTTTCAACAGCTTTCAAAATCACTGGAAGGAGTGTAATTGTTCACATTGTTCTTCAGTATTTTGCTAAATTATAACATGAGCTGGATAGCACACCCAGAACTGACCCTTTTATAAGACACTCTTCTCAAACACAGTTTTTTATATTTTTAATATCTCTATTGGCTCCCTGCTCTTTCTGCCATTTTAAAACTTGCTAACAACACAATTGCTATCCTAAGCCTTTATCCAAATTTGATTTGCTGGAATAGTTTCCTCAATTATTTTTCATAAATGAACCAGTAATTCTATAACATATTAACCCACACACCTGGAAAAGTGAGATAAGCTTATTTACCATGCATTTTACCAGCAATTGTTCTTTTTTTTTTTTTTTTTTTAACACAATAGAGATTTTTCCCTTCTGTCTTTGGAAATCTAAATCTAGGTCACATCTGGTAGGCAAAAGACTCCTTCTAAGCAATTTATACAACGTAGGAAGCAGCTGATGATCACACTACTGGCACCCACATTTAATATCTGTTGAAATGAGATAACCAAAGCCTTGTGGCTGTCTTAGCTCTCCTGCTTTCTCATTTCCAAAACACCGTTTGTCCTGTTTATGGTATAATGTGATGGAATGTCACATCAACGTCAGATGAAATATCCATTTCCTCTGCTAAATGAGCTCAGGATGAAAAATATTAGGAAGGTAATGTTCAATTCACTAAACAGAATCCATTTTTTAAGGGCTTCTAACGTTTTAATCAAAACGAGATAGTGCTCAGCATCTGAGCCATGACGCCACCCTCACTAGGTTGACAAATCATCCTGAAAGGAGGAAAGTCATATGTTCAAATTTCTCACCTTAGATTTTCCTTCTTGTTTCATTGGTAAAAATGTAATTAAAATTGAATGTTGGTACCACCCCTTCCTACCATTGCATTGTGTTTTCCATTCATCCTTCAACTGGTACTTGACAACCTTAACCCTCGTTGTGTGTGGTGCATTTTAGAATGGGTTTATTCTAAGATGAGTCATGTCAGAGAAGTAGGGAGTGTCAAGATGTAATTTTTCATCTGTTTCCATTGGGAGCATACTAACGTTTCTTTCAAAAGGCATCCACATTAAGATTTTATAGATGATTCTGCAGCCTGAACATAGCTGTGGACATCAGACTGCAGAAGATAGTCAAGGTCAGGGAGAAACACGAAGTGCACAGAGGCCATGTTGATATGAGTTGCACTCCATGTGTTCATTCCAATCAAAGTGACAATCGTACAGAAAGCAGTGCTGTACAACAGATACCTTATTAAATGCAAAACCTTATGGGTAATTCTTGATAGGTCATTTTTATTTCTGACCACTTCCGCAGGATGCCCTGTTATTTTGTTTGAATGGATATCTCTCAAACTAATTGTCTAGGTAAACCTTGAAACCATTAATGTTTTCTCATTTTAATATAATTACAATCTTAAGTATACTATAATACTCCAATATGCCACTGGAACAAACAACCAAGTGGGAGATTTGGAGGACATTATTACACTAAATACGTTGCTGGGAAAAATTTAAAGACAAAACGTATATGTCATAACCCTGGCTGGGTAGCTAAGTTGGTTGGAGCATCATCCTGTACACCAAGAGGTTGCAGGTTCAATCCCCAGTCAGGGCACATGCGGGGGGCAACAGATGATGTTTCTCACATTAATGTTTCTCCTCTCTCTTTCCCTCCTTCTCTCTCTAAAACAAACTAAAAACATTCCTTCACGTGAGAATTAAAAATGTGTATGTTGTAAAAGGATAAATGAAAAGTTAAAAAAGTAATCTATGTGAAAAACAATGTTTCAAATTCACAAAACTGAAAAAAGGTTCAGTACTTTTAGTTTTGATTTTTCCTACCCAATTACAAAATCTTAATTTAAAAATAGTAAAATAAATTTAGTTTTATTCATCCAAATGTTGGCATATTGGGGCTCATTCCTTGCATCTTACAAACCTAGTTATAGATTGCAAGTTCTCCAAATATATTTTCTATATAGATGATTCACTAAGTTTTTTTTTTTTATTTTTTTTTTACCAAATTATGCCAGTATATACAACACTTGGGAAAGGAATTTTTTTTTTTTTTTTTTTTTTTTAGAAACCCTCAATTTAGCTCAGAAAATTGTCATATAAAAATATATGGCTACAACCCATATGTTGTAAACATTCAGTAAGAGTTTGTCCTGATAATGCCATGCATTTGCTTCAGTTAACCAGGCAACTAGTGTGTGATCCTTTAGCCTTGGGCCTATGTCCTGTGAGAATTGGCGAATGACTCTATACATCTTCGGGTCAGGAAGAGAGGTCGTCTATGCAGCCTTTCATTCCCTACAGGAAGCAGGCAAGCACATTGCTATGCAGCCAGTGTAACCTCAGTATTATCATTCTTTAGCACTTACTTTTAACTCATTTCACATTGCAGGTCAAGAAAATGAAATGTTCTATCTCTGCAGGACACAGCTGCAATGCGGTTAGGGTGGCAATCATACAAAATGGAGGGCAAACTCTAGAAGGACAAGGAGGCTGCCTGGTGCTGCCTGGGAGCCACCCACCCTCTGCCAGCAACAGGGCACAGCCACTGGATCCCTGCGATGTGCCTGAGTGACGAGGGTGAGTCCCACATCCGTGCTTAGCGCTACTCTGGGGAAGCATGAACGCAGACACAAGTTGGGATGAAATAAATTACAGTCCTGAGGTGCTTGTTGTTAATTCCAGGTTCACTCGAGATACATGTCATTCCTGTCTTTCTCTGCCTGCCCTCCAGCCCTCCCTAAAATGAGTACCTTCATCTTCTCCTTCCATAAAGAGGATGTTCCACTCTCTACTTTGTTTCTTTGGAAACATGTATTGGCGAGCTGTCAGTCAGCTTCGGACAGAATGTCATTGCAAATGACAGCTTGTTCCCTGCCCTCCACCCAAATCTCCAAATTTAACAGTATACTTTACAAACTGCTTGGCAAAGGGCTGTTTTTATAATATTTCCCCCTCTGTCTTGTTATTTTCTTGCCAGGGTTTTAATGGCATAAACTTTCATTCATTTTTTAGTGGATATATAAATTCTAATTATTCATGGAAAGGCATTTCCCCCCCGATACAGTGCATTCTGCTTGGAGTTTACTGCACATTTAGATCTTTATAAAAAAGAATAAATTCAAATATATACATTTAACAATGGGCAATATCTAGGCCTAAACATGCTCATTAAAATGATGAATAAGCTAAAATGTCTCTGAGAGACGGAGGAGAAGGAGCTACTAAAGTCATGGTGCACAATCTTCACAGATGCCCGTTCCACTTGACGCCTAGTGACAGCTATGGTTTTTTTTTGTTGTTGTTGTTTTATTTTGTTTTGTTCTGATGACTGAGAAAATTTCTAAAAAAGTGGTATTCCAGGGAACTTGCATTATTTAAGGTTTCAGCTATGTCTAATGTAAAAAAAAATTCTAAAACTAAAACAAAAACCCAAACCCAATTACCCAATGCAGTATTTGGTTGGTTTTTAACTTGGCAGAAAACAGCCATTTTTGGCCCAGTGACCGATGTTAGATGGCATAACAGCAGCATGGTAGCCTGAGAACATGATGCCTCAGCCTCAGGCTTGAGGTCTGGGCCCAGTTCTGATTACTGATCAGGATGCACAAAACTTCACAGAAGAGGTCAGGCTGCGAGCCCAGAAGGCAAGGGAGGCATCACTGTGGCCTGGAGCTAGTGACCCTCCCACAGCATCGAGATAGGCTCACCTGGAGGAAACAGGAAGCCTTCCAAAGAGAGGGAGAGGAAGGTGAGAAGCACCTAGGGCGCCAGAACCTCTACTGAAGGGTGGGTACATGCTTGCAGGGAAAGAGACTCAGATGGAAACCAGTCCCCTGTGCAGGATGTGAATGGGTGATGGATGCTACAGAGAAACATGCGCAATAGAGTGGGGACTATGAGGGCAGGCGGGTGCTAATAAGATCTGAGATGGGGGTTATTTATTGAGAAAACAACACTTGAGCAAAGACAGGAAAGAGGAAGGGGAGTGATAGAGGATGGCATCCAGAAAGGAGCACTGAGGCAGTGGGAAGAAAAAGTTCAAAGGTACAAGATGAGACTGTGAAATACAGAGGTGTGCCTGCAGTGGAGTAAGCTGGGGAGAGTGGCGGGGAAATGTCAGCGTGGGGGAACCTCCATAGATCATTATAAAGACTTGGCTTTGTCTTTGCATGATGGGAGCTATGGGAGGATTGTGAGTGGAGGAGTGATGTGGTCTGGTTTATGTTTTAACAGGATCGCACTGGCAGTGGTGTTTAGAATTGGCTGGGGGAGGGTGTCAATTGTAGAAACACGAATATCAGGGGTGAGGCTATTGCAATAAGCCAACAAGAGATTAGGATGCTTTGGAATAAGACAGTAGCAGTGGAGGTCAAACTTGAGATACATTTGCCCGTGAACAGGGTGCAGGTGTGTAGGTATAACATCCGGGCTTCTGGCACGAGTAGCTGGCAAGATGGAGTTGCTGTTTGCTGAAATGTAGAGAACTGAAGAGGCAGGTAGCTGGGAGAGTCAGGAATTTGGTTTGAGACAAGTTAGTTTTGAGACATAAGATATCCACAGGAGATAAAAGTAGGTAAGCAGTTGGAAATAGTGGGGAGACATCTAAGTTTAGAATCTACGTTTAGATCATACGTTTTGGGGTTGGCAGCAAAAAAGATGGTATTTAAAACCATGAGACTGCATAAGGACACTTAGAAGGTGAAGAGAGAGAGAGTGAGAGGGGGCGAGATGGGGGGGGGCAAGGAGGGAGGGAAAGAAAGAGAGGAGGAAAGAAAGAGAGGGAAGAGAGAGAGAACAAGAGCGAGAGAGCGAGA